TAACCACCACACACCGCCTCGGCTAAGGGCACGGTAAGTGATCAACGATGGCCAGAAGGAGCGAACAGCGCCATCAACGGCCACCCAAGACAAAGGACGCTCATCGCCCTCCAACAAGAGATAGCCACAATGGCCTCCTCGGACAAAAGTATGTCATTCAATCAACAACGGCCAGAAGGAGTGAACAGCGCCCTCAACGGCCACTCATGCCAAAGACACATATCGGCCATTCACAACTACAGACCTTCACCACCCCCATCAAGCAAGGGTATTCATCGTCCTAGAGAGCAAGGAACACGTACCATCCGCATGGCTATGACCTCTCCCGTCCACGATAGGGGACACGCAACGGCCAAGCATAAAAAGAACAGGAATCTACTCTCCTTCACTTCGTCTACATCTCAGCTTAGAGAGTGGGGGACTCCTGATGGAGTATATGGGTCTAGGCCCCAGGACCCACATACTCAGGAGAACATAAGGCACAACTGTCACCCAGTGGGACCCTCATCGGCCAGGTGACCCTCATCGGCCGGAACGAAGACAACCCAGAACGTGATCCGGAAGCCAGAAGAACCGGGTGACCTCGTCGGCTGGGTCTTCGTCGGCCATGCACTCATCGGCCAGACCCTCGTCGGCCACAAAGAACTCCCATAACCGGATTTTACACTTACTCATTTGTATATATACTCCATTTACTTTGTATTCGGCCCAATAGCGGTCCAGTTGTAAATGGGCCTCCCAAGCCCAAGGCTTGGGGGCCCAGCCCGTATTTTTCCTATAAATACTTCCTCTAGAGGTAGTTGTAGGGATTGGAAAGACATTGATTGAAGCATTTACTTGCACTTCTCTCTCTAGCTCTCACTTCTCTCTACAATATAATCTATCAATTATGTTTTTTATTTATACTCCAAATTTTACAAAAAAAATATATCAAGTCATAAATATTTTTTTTTAATTTCATAATTATCAAAAATAAAATCAAAGAAAAACATTACTTAATAATTTAATTAATATTATACTAAACTTATATGTCAAAAAAATATTTTGATTATGTTGGAATGTAGGAGAAAATGGTGACACTAAACTTTCTCTCTTAAGAAGTAGCTCTGATTTTACTCTAAATTGGTGTACAATTATCAATCGATAACCATTTTGGAAAAGTTTTACTTTTTCCCAATATTTTATGAGGCTCAAACAGGTAATAAGATAACAGGCCATAAGAATGTCTATTGGGGATCAGAACAAAGTAAAGATATATGTTAAATACGTCAAACCCATTCGAGATATACAAATTTTGCCCTCATTAATCTCTTGTAATATAAAAATACATCAAACACATTTGTGTGTTATAATTACTCACACACATAACACCTTAAAACAACAAATTTTAGTTGTCTTGAAATCACGTGTCTTAGTTTTATGATAAATTATGCACCTAAATATTTCAAGATACCTTATGTTGTATAAAAAATATTAATCATTTTTTTCAATTCAACAACTAAACTTTTCATCGGTGTATTTATTGCAGGTTAATCACAACTGGTACATATTTGACTTAAATATGTTTTTAGTCCATGTAAATATGATGCACTTTGTATTATGTTCGTGCATTTTTTTTTCATCCTTGTACGGAGTAATATATATCCGTACTATTTTATTTCCGGTCCACCTCTAATTTTGAAACCACTCTATTTGAAGGGGGGGAAATATTGTCGGTTGTATAAAACTACTTGAAACTTTTAAATCAATCCTTTTATAATTTTTTTGAGTATAATAAGAGAGTTAAAACAATGTAAAATTAATCATTTACATTTTTTGAATATGTATTAAAAACCTTCTAAAAATTAAAATTAAATACAAACATAAATTTTAAGGATGAAAAACAAAATGTATTAAAAACCTTCTAAAAAGGAATGAGATGACAAAGAATTGAAGACCTATCAGTCGGGGTTGTTTCATTGTCGAATATAGATTGTTATCATCGGTGATTGATTAAAAAGAATACTAACATAAATTTTAAGGATGAAAAATAAAATGTATCATAAAAGTATACAATTAAACCCTAAACACACATAATGGAAATGGACAAAACAAGTGACGAGTAAAATTGATCTTCCAAGTTCCAACCATGTGTGGAACATCCTCTTTTAACAGAAAGTTCTACCAAACTAATAAGGACTTTTTTCTAATTGCCCGGGCCAAAAAAACCTTTGCAAAACTTAACCAAGTGTTGATCATCAGAACAAACTGTTAATTATGTCAACTTGATTTAAACTACACGCAAAAAAGGAGGAGAGGATGTTGTCATTCCACTGCAGAATCTGTGATAGCAGCAGCTTGTTTAGTAATAGTCGACTCATCTGAAGCGTCTGCAAACTCCTCTCGGTACATTTCTTCTATCATAGGCTTCCATAGCCGAACTCGAGCATTTATAAACCAGTTTGACACCTTAAACAGCATTATCATTCATACCCACAAAACCAGATCTCAATAAAGTTTCAAAATTTAGCAAAAAAGAAAGGCAAACTCATAATGAAGATTACCTGATTCTTTGTCAAGCCTGTCTGTGACGCCAACATCAGCTTCTCCAAATCATCCGGATATCTTAAAGAAAAACAAACCAATACTAACTAAATCATTTCATGAACCCAAAAATATATTGTTTAATAAAATAATAATAATAATAACAAAAATAATATGATTAGTACGGGTGAAGGAAGTGTTCAAATAGCCAAGCACGAAGAATGGCCACAGAAGTCTCAGGGAGCCCTCTCATTTGCCTCCATGATTGCCTCGAGCTTTGTACAGCCCCAAGCTGTTGAAGAAACTCCCTATGAACCCTGACCTGTTTTGTGTCAAACTTCAGCGTTTTATCTTCTGATATTTCTCCCAGTACCTTCTTTATTTGAGAAAAGATAGCTTCCCTCAAGTTGCAGAAATGTCTAGACATGGCTTGAAGTGCAAGTGCAGTGTATGATTTCCCTGCTCCTACTCCTGCTATTGCCTCAAATGAAGACACTATCTCTTCCATTTCATGATAATATTTCTCATATCCAGTTTCCACCTGAAAATTTACCCATATTACACAAAAGTTCCAGATGAAAAAAAAATCAAGAACCTAAAGACATTTTCTTCATTGATGAAAATACCCCTTCAAGCAAAGCAATCAGCTCCACGATTTTGTCATTATCTAGAAACTCTACACTTAGAACAGAACGGAGCCGGAAAGATCCTTTCTTGCTGTAGCGTGATAGTCTCTTGATGTACTTTTCACTGCAGGCGGAATGTGAAGACTTTTCAGCAAGACTGACCATTTCGTGAAGAAGTGACTGTGCAGGTCTCAAATATTTCGACTGAGTTAAGAAAGATTCACCAGTTCCAGAAAAGATGGATATTGAACTGGTTGGGGAAGAAGAGACAGAACCACCCATAACCATCCGATTGACAAAATCTGGGCTTATGACACTGGTGATTTGGTTCAATGATGTTTGCCAAGGTGGTGAGAGTTTCTGGGCTCTAAGCAGATCATCCATGACTTGTCTAGTGTGAGTTATTTGGGGTTGACCAAAAGAATGAATGCCTAGACCGTGTGGTTGACCAGTCATGGAGTATGAAGTGGTGAACTGCTGTAGAATACTGGGTTCTTGATGTGAATTCTGAGAAACCATTGTTAAAGGATGCCAAAAATATTGTCAGTGATGAAAAAGATTTGATTTTTGGCACGATAAGCTAATCAAGAATCATAAAAGTGATTAAACCCTTTTTGAGATTCTTCGAAAACCAAGGCAGAGAGAATGTGCATATATATCTTTCAAGATAGCTTGGCTAGAAGTAGTGTGTAATGTATACATACAAACATATGCATATATAAACACACATGAGCCTGCCATGTTTAAATATTTGTACAAACAAACATACCTCGACCTGATAATCAGTTCATTCATTCGAGACTAAAGAAAGAAAGAAAAGATTCCATTGTTTACTTTTATTTTTCCAATCCTTCCCACAATCTATAAGAGTAGCAATGAAGCTATGGAGCCTATGCGAAAATGCTGAAAATGAGGACGAAATTTATGGCCCCCCTAACTCCACCACCCTCCCTCATCTTTAAATGCAATACAAACTAAATATCTTTGGGACACTCAAAAAGCACTTTCAGGCTCCAGCATTATCGTACTGTCAACCCACACAGGTCACAGTAGAAAGAAGTTAAATGAAGCACAGAAAGATAACATTAATGTGGCATTTGTGTGCTGCAGAAGGGGTTTCTGCCGCTCTGGGGGGAAAGAAAAAGAAAGTGAAGAAAAAGTATGCTGCCTTTTTTGGCACATTCATATACGGAGTATTTTTTTAATCTCTTTTTTGTAAGATTGTCTGCTTGTTATTTGTGAATCTGCAAATGTAGATTGTCTGTGCTGGGAATCGTAAACATGTGAGATAGTATATTTTTTAAAATTTATCTGTTGCTGGCATACTTAGAATTTCGAAAGGACACTAGAATCTAGATGAGCATCTCCTCAAGAAATACCATCTACAAACTGTATTTTTTTTATACGGAGTAGTTTTTACCTGTGTTGTTTAGGGTTGTTAAGGCGGTGAAAAGATTAAAACTTTATTACATGAAATGACGGTTTTTATGGGACCCACGCTTGACATGAGTTGAAATGTAATGGTGGTTTCAACACATGAAAATGGTTTAATTGAATTATTACCACATTTGTATCTATTCGGCCTAGCAGTTGTCACTCACTCCTTGTGATTGAGAGCCGCCTGATGGAGGGTGTAAAAAATCACCTTTTTTTACCTTAGGCATGATTCTGGATTCTGGGTAGCAAAAAAGTAGATTTCAACTTTTAGAAAGATTGCTTTTAATAAACATATTTTTCATATAACATCAGATTGAGGATCAGAAGATGTAGCATGCAAGAAGATACTGACTAACTGATAAGTTAAAGAAAGAGAGAAGATGTGTACCACATTTGTGGAATGAAATTAAAGAAAGGTGCAAACTTTCTGCAAAATTCAAATCTTTTATTGCCAGTCCAACAAAATATACTACAGTAGTGTATTAGTATTTCACTTATACACTTAGCTATTGCTATACCAATGAAAAATTGAAAACTATACCAATGTTTGTGTTACAAGACAATATAAACTACAAGAATGCTTCTCATCACCCATTTAGCAGAACAAACGATCGATATCATGATGAAAAAGAATTTCATCTTTGGATCAGCTTTAATTACCAGCTTGTAATCGTTCTGAAGAACTTGTGAGGTTTGCCTCGGTATCGCCGACCTCCTCCTTGTACATATCTTCAATCATGGGCTTCCAAAGGCGGACACGTGCATTAATGAACCAGTTCGCCACCTAGTCCAAAATTTAGCCTCATTAATATGTACCAAAAAGGGAAGATAAAGCAACATTTGATAAACCGTAATGTAGTGTAATCGAATATGTTTAATGATCATTGACGTTATACATGCATTTGAACAACCAATTATGGGCACTAAACAGAGCCGTGTCCTTGTTTATGTACCTGGCTTCTTGTTAAGCCTGTTTGTCTCGCAAGTGTTACTTTCTCTGTCTCTTTTGGGTACCTGACAAAAACACGAAACAACACCATAAGCAATGGAACTAGTATGGAGAGTTTCTTTAGGAGAATAAAAAAGAAAACTTATGCGCCTCATAGTTTATTCTAATATATGCCACTGCAAAGTCAAATGTTTATCTTTAAGAACATGCACCCCGTAGGGGGGAAATTAGTTGTCAGGTATTAAGGACCTAAGGTAAATCATGGAGTGCAAGTCTAGTAGAAAACATACGGGTGGAGGAAATGTTCAAAGAGCCAAGCACGGAGTATAGAAACAGCATTTTCAGGCAAGCCTCTTAGTGGCCTCCAAGGTTGTCTCATCACACCAAATTGCTGAAGCAATTTTTGTTGCCTCAGCTTGTAATCCACTTGACGGAGCCGATAAAACCTTCTTCCTCCTTGGCTAGTATTGCTATCATCATCACCATTACCACCTTGACCCTCCCCTCGGGTAGCCTGAATCTGCTTCTTGATTGCATCACAAATGCAACGGAATTGGCGGGAAATTGTTTCGAAAGAAAGTGATGTGTATGGTCTAGCAGCACCGCTCCCAGCCACCATCTCAAAGGACGACACTAAAATTTGCATCTGTTCATAATATTGTTTGTATGACATGTCCACCTATACACACGTAAACAAGTTTATTATACTAAAAGCATTAGTTAATACACTGGCCAAAGGACATCTATAGATTCTAAGGGTGTGTTTGACACATGGAGTTGAATAGCTGATAGGTCAATGGCTGGGAGACCTTAGTTAAGCAATGAAAAGTTCTAACTTGGAGTTGAATAGCTGATAGGTCAGTGGCTGGGAGCTAAAAGCTAATGTTTAGCTATTAAGTAACTGATTTAATAAAAGGTAACTCCTTGTATGCATTATCAATGGAGAAAAGGTGGTGTGTTTTGGAAAAGAAATCGGTTTTTATGGGAAAAAGAGAAGTTACGAGCTTATTTCTAATAAGTTATTGAAGACATGTTGCATTGGGTCAAATACACCCTTAAAAGGATCCTCAAGAGATGAGGTTTATGGACACTTTAAATACGCCCTTAGCCCAAATAGGTCTGAAAACGTATGGCACTTTAATACTCCACTAAATGAGAACTTGAGGTGGATATATGGGCCAAACGACCCCAATACCCCATACTGGCTATCCAAACCATGACGTCAAAGTGTCAAACAAACACAATCACAGCGGACTTGGATACTTTTAAATTGGACCTAACTTGCCGTAATATGATTCTGAAAAGTGGAGGTTTGCTCCATAAACACAAATCATGTAAAGATCAGATGTGGGATAGTTTTAACAATATGGAGTTTCAAATGAGAGGATTCTTGTTTACCAAACGGAGATGATAACTTACTTGGAGCTTAAAATAAGCCATAAGCTCCACAATAACTTCTGAGAACACCAGCTAAATCTAACAAGTACTACCTCAAGAATAAAAGAGGAACATTTACCCCACCTTATTTAGCATCCACAAGAGCTTGTTCATCTTGTTATCTAGATCACATCGTTTTGCAGATGATATGTCCGTCGCACAGCTGGATGACATCATAAGAACAGAAGCCTCCTCTTCAGACAAATTTTCTGCAAATGAATAAAAAATATACTGCCTGTCCTGTTGTTTTGTTGTAGCGGATGATGATTGGACGTTAACAATCTCATCAAGTAAATCCTGTGCAGCCTTTAGATATTTGGAATCATTTATGTCAGTTGCTTCATGTATACGTGTGCTAATAAAATCCATCTGTCTGAGGTTGTCAATGGCACCAGATTTGCCAGCTGAATCAAACGACAAATATTCAATATTTTTATTTTCACTGTAGTATGAGCCACCCTGAAACTGGTGGTCATCACGGTATGATGATGGAACTTGCATGACCAAGCTGAGAGATAGTTGTCGTCCTTTTTCATACTGCTCAATATTGAAAGTGTCGGAAGGCTCCTCAATGGAAGGAGAGTGAGCATCTGTGATATTGGGGGTAACATTCATCATCAGAAGATCAGAGGGATGATGTGGCATTAGTGGGAGTGGAGAGTCTCTTTCGTTACTGGTTGAACCCCATGAATAATAAGTCGCCATATTTCTTTGACCTCCCACCATTCCACCTCTCTCAAACTTGTAGACACAACATATTCCAATTTTCTCCTAGTGAGGTGATCAACCTGTAAAGGGAGGAAAGGAGGTAGGGAGTCAACTAACATGTTAGACTCACCATCATCAAAAGAAACACAAGATTTGCCAAGGTCTGTCTGGACCCGGGGGCGATTGAAGGTATTTCGGGCAATATAAAGCACTGTTACCATTTATACAGCATTGCACAGCGATATAGTTACAAATTACGCTAGGAACAGAGAAAATTGAAGTGAAAGATTTGGAGAATATAATTGATGTGCAAAAACATGCATCCTTCTAGTGAGTGGTGATCTTAGTGCATTGTTTTACTCATATGAATACACTACTTTTATTGTGGTGGTTGTAATCATCATCAATTCATCATATAGCAGTATAGTACATTTCATCACAGCAGTTCTCCACATTCCACAACATCCAATTAAATTACAACTACCAGAACACCCACAACAAGAAAAAATCATTACCTTCAGGAAGTAAAAACAACATGATAGAACCTTAGCAAACATTTAAAAAGAGTACCTGGGAAGAAAACTTAACTGTGACAAATTAAAGCAGAAGCTTTTCCATGTACACCCTTAGCTGATCCGCAAACATCCTAGGAAGCAGCTTATTCTTCTTTATCATCTGAACAATCCCACCATCAGCGGGCCAGCTGATGCATTGCAAAAAGGATTATTCTCACTGTCTTATTATTGACAAATAACTATGAAAGAGCTGATATTCAAGAAAGTAAAATAATCAAGTGTCAACTCTTCCATTCCATTCTTCAACCCAATTACGAGCGAAGTATTATTATATTCTCCATCAATTATTTCAAACCTCCTGTCTTGAGGTGGGTCCAGGACGGAAGACCCAAAGAACGCACAAAGCCAAGTGTTGGTTCGTTTTGTTTCGAAGGAAAAATGAAGAAAAAAGAAAAATCCATAAATGGAAAAAGCCAACAGAAGTTAATGAATGGACAAAGGTAGGAGGGTTGGTGCTTTGTTTGTTCCCGTTTACTTTTTTGGGGCTGATGGTTTAAGAGTCTGTATCGGCAACCACCGGTGGGTAGACCTACTAAACAAAGCTGCGGAAAAGCCATTTTAATATGAACACTGAAAATTAAAATTCCATTTTAACCTTTTTTGGCTTACGAGCCAATTTTTTTATGGAACAGTAGAATAAGTCAAGGCTTAAGACATTATTCGGACCAAATTAGATGAATTTGCCGAAGAGAGTTTTTGTTTTTGTTTTTGAACAAGCTAAGATATTACGCACAAAAACACTTAAGAGCCCGTTATTAGCATATTACCAATACAAGAAACAAAATTGTAAGTATGACAAACGTGTGAGAATTCTTGAAAAGTTTTTGGACTGCTTTATGATAGTGTAAAGTTGTTTTTTCAATTACCATGCCTTATAGATTTTGATTGATGTAACCCGAATGCGACATGATGTGATAAAAATGACTTTTTTAAGGTGCACTCGATCCTGAACAGTGAACACCCTCTTGTTAAGATAAGACAAAGTATGTTACCTGGTTAACATAAGACAAAGTAAGGGCGTTGTTAAATTTAATAAAAATCTTTAAATTGTAGGTAGTATATAATATAAAAATAAAAATTTTATTGAAAAAACTATTGTAGAAAAGAAATCCAGGGTAAGTTGATATTTCTGGGTAACAAATCCAGCGATATTCCATATTCTGACCTATATAAAACAGCATTGCCGACCACTAAAGTATTCTTGGTTGCTTGACCTTAATATTCTACGAGAACCATATCTTTAATGCGGGGTTCTGCATCGTACGATAGGACTGTTAACTGTACACATTATAGGTCCTTGGTGGATGATATATTTCCCATGAAAGTCAGAGGGAGGAATAAATTTACCAAAAACTACTGCTTCAAAAAAAGTCAGAGCTATGGGGGAACAAAATCACGATTGGTATGAACGCTGATTGAATCAGAAATTGACTATTTTGCCTAGACCATGCATTGTGGACTCCCAAAACTTCCCTTCTACAACAGCTGTATGCAGAAGGTAGACCCGTCCAGGCTTTCCATAATCAATGCCAGCTGAATAATATATTGAACAAGCGCACACCAATAGTCCAACACATTCTCTTTCTTTCTTTGTTCTTCTGTACAGGGTCATGAAGCTGGATCCTCCTCCTCCTCGGATTCAAGTTGCTTACCAAATTTCCTAAGTGCAAGAGAATATATTGCTTTTCTTTTCAGAGACTTGCAGGTTGCCACCATCTTCACTGCCTGCCTTCCAATCATTCATCAAATCACATAAGAATGAACTGAACTCCATATCATAACCAGAAAATGCTTGCACGATATCAATTTTATTTACAAGAATAGCATGCAAATACGCAGCCATTAGTTTTTCCCGTGTGAGTAATTAAGAGAAAAAGGCAGTTCATTCTCACGATCAACCATGTGCAGAAATACTATTGAAATTGCAATGATAATTGATCTACCATATAAGAACGGGCTACTCATGATATCAGGTTAATCTTTCAGGATTAAATCTTAAGTGTAAATATGGTGTCAAAATCAGGTCTGGCACCCCATGATATAGAGTAGGGATATTAGGCTTGTTTAGCCCACTATCCTAGTATAATATACTCTGTGTTTCTATCAAGTTTACTTGTTTAGATAAAAAAAACTTTTACTCCACACTTCCACAGTGACCATGATTCTGAATTCAGAGTGACTGAAGTGACTACGACGATGATTTCAGTGACTTTAGTGACCAATGGTGTTTTGACTGTGACTCTAGTGACCATGTTGGTAGCTTTCACAATAACTATAGTTATCAAGTACTACAATGGTGTTTAGACCGTGACTCTAGTGACCATGTTGGTAGCTTTCACAATAACTTAGTTATCAAGTACTCTTAGTTTGGTCTATGAGTCATGTTTTAGTAAAATTATTAGAGGAATAACATGATCACAAAAGTTATACACGAGGAAAGAGGAAACAAGTACCATTGAAAGTGTGTGTCCTTTCGATATAAGCTCTCTCAATTCATTCTCCAATTCAGAGTCCGATGGAGCGTCATCTGTACTAGGTGATTTTCCTTCAAGCAAGAAGGTGATTTCACCCTTAGGTTGGCGTGTTGAAAAAGCTTCTTTAGCTTGGCCTATACTACCATGCCAAAACTAAATTCATTCCATCCATAAAGGAACTTCTCAGAATAGGATCCATATGCCTAAAATATAAATAGGTTGAAAGTCACTATTGGCGGGTTTACAAAATCGTACCTCCTCATATAATTTAGTCATTTCACGTGCTATGACACATTGCCTGCAAGAATGCTACATAGCTTAAGAAATAATGACAAGTATATGCAAAGTAATTATATTAGACAAAAATGTAACCTTTACAGTGCAATGGTTATGCTGACATTTTCACAGTGACTACCATGTTGATATCCAATTTTACACCACAATGACCATGTGGGTATTTTTGCAAAGACTACAATCGTATTCATATTTTTGCCATTGAACACTACCTATTTTATTTCTCTCATGTCCTTTATCTCATTTATCTTTTATCTATCTTATGTTCATATGTTATTTTTATCTTATCTATTTTATCTTACCTTATCTTTTTATTTTTCTCATCTTTCTTCTCTTTTTGGCTTTGATATCATGGATCGATTCAGGTTAGCCGACCCCAAAATATTTTGGGAATAAGGCTTGGATGTTGTTGTTGTAACACTACTATGTTATATTATATGAAAATCCCTATTTTTAAGTCATAAAAATGCAGCTCTAACTCTACCTTCATAACTTTTCACAAATCTTACCTAGATTCACCAAATATCGAAGAAGTCTCTTCAAGAAAATGGCAAAGCTTGTGAGGTGGGACATAAAAAATCTGAGTTGCCGCCTCATTCGAAGAAATCGTCAGCCTCTCTCTCCTAGAACCAGCATGTTTTGGGAGAAATCCAACTGATGCATTTAGATGATAGAAAACATCAAATGCCATAATAACACCACCACTAAAGTTTGCCTAGATAAACTACACATGTTTGCCGGTCATCATTACCAAATGTGAACTCATTAGTAGGTAAGCCAGAGGCCGATAGAGCAGTTATGAGGGCAGAAGGACCCGGGATAGGAATCACTGGTATATTCATCTCCACGCACAATTTTGCCTGCACAGGAAACAAAAAAGCATACCTTTAGGGTATATTTGGATCATGACAAATGCTTAGGGAATGAAATAAATGGTAAGGCCTAAGGGAAGTTGTCTTCTTAAGTTTCTGTTTAGCTTGGAAATCATGAAAGAAAAACAAATATGATAAAAAGTAATCATATATTTAAGATTTCTTAGTCTATATATAAGATTTTCCATCATTTGCAATGAAGCCAAAGACTCACTATTTTTTGGCTTGGGAATATGATGGAATAAAGCAAATGGGCTCACTAAACTGTTTGCGCTTCTTTGTTATGAAGCAACAGTCAGTTTATGCAATTTTTGACGTGATTTTCACTATGGATCATCCGGAAACAATCTCTATGTGCTTTAGTACAGGGGTAAGACTGCGTATATCCGACCCCCCTTACCCCACCGTAGGTGGGAGCCTTTGCGGCACTGGGGTAATGATGATGATGATTAGTCTATATATAAGAGAAATATATAAATAAATAAATAAATAAATAAATAAATCAAATGAGTTTGAGAGAGAAATATCTTTAATAAATTTTGAGTTGGAGACTGTTCTTTATTGTTCCCCAAAATTTATTTCCTTCCCAATAGTATCATGAAGTTTAAGTGTCTCATTAAAGAAAGAAAAGCTAACCAGTTCTGCACCAGGATCACTGATGCCCGGAGTTCCAGCATCACTGATCAATGCCACAACTTGACCTTCTCTGAGTCTTTTTAACACAGATTGCTCCCTCTGAGATTCATTGAATTTGTGATAGCTAAGCTGAAAATCTAAAGCTGACCATCACAAATTCTTTATATTTATTCACAAACACCAACATATTTGGATGCATACTAGAGAAGAAATATGGCCGGTGTCACTCACAAGAGGAGTCTTAATATTGTAATGCTGTAGCAACTTCCCCGAATGCCTTGTATCTTCAGAAAGTATCACATTTGCAGAATTTAAAACTCTCAAAGCTCTGCAAAGGTGATAGATTATTGAATACTGGCCATTTTGGTAATGATAACAATAACCAATCTTAATGACCACAAGGAAAAAAAAGATAACGATTAACAAAAATAGGAAGGCCAATTGCTGGTACCTCAGAGTAATATCTTCAAGATTCCCAATAGGTGTTCCTACCAGATATAAACCTGGCTTCAAGGGTTTCTGAAAAAGATGGTAAAAATTTTCAATTTCGGTCAAAGATAGCATTCTGAGTGCAAATAAGAGGGTGAAATCATCAATCATCTTACTTGCTTTGATTCCGAGGGTACTAGGTCGGGCACAGTTGACGAGTCGGTGGAGAAGAGGGCAAGACTGTCGGAAATTGAGGTGGTGCAAATAACTGAAGATTGGTTTCCGGCAGTGAGAAATCTCGGGAATAAAGGAAGGAGGCATCGAAAGCATTTCCCGGAAAACGCGAAGATAGGTGCAGCGGAGGAGGTGGTCGCGGAGGATAACATTATCGAAAAGCCGCGAATGAGCATTCTTTCCTCCGAATTGGTGAACGGAAAACTTTGCAGGGGTAAACGGTAAACCGATAGACTTTTGCTGATTTCTTTTAGATTTGAAGAATTAGAGCTTCTTTGGTAATATTGACATCCGGTAAATTGGTTCAATCTACTCAAATTCTTAAAATTTTGATTGAAGTAGCGATAATAGCAACATCCAGTGAATATGCTGAATTACGAAAGAAATATTTAAAATGTCGTAATTAGCTAATAAACTTAAGAAAAAATACATGAAAATACCTAAAATGGTGTTTTACAGTAATTTCAATCAATCCTATTACAAATGTAACTTCAACCTTATTTTTTGTATTTTTTGATTTAGCACGTGAAGTCAAAATGATGTACTACTTCTTCCGTCCTGCTAAGATTGACTCATTTTACCTTTTCAGGAAATCTCACTAAGATTGTCTCATACCAAATTTAGTAAAGTTTGTGTGGCTCTAAATGATTTTTACTTTATTGTTACTTTATTAATTTAATATCAACCACACAAATCAACTTTTTCTTAATAATCGTGTCACCTTCTCTTGTCTCAATCTTAGTGGAACGGAGGTAGTATCATTTTAGGTATTTTCATAAAATTTGACTGATAAAACTGATAAATTGAAAACAGAGATTATCAAACAGGTTCTTAATTTATTTATAATTACATGATTATTGCTGTGTGGACTATGTGATACTCCCTGTCTTAGTTTTTTATTCTTCAAAACAGAATTACATGAAATTTGATACTTCATTTCATGGTTCAACACTTCAATGGAGAGTTGAAGTTGTTTTGGACTTTGGTGCTCCCCAACAGCTAATGCCCGTATATTATACTTCATCCATTTTTTGGTCACAATAACTTCACTATTAAAGAATGCTTTGATCAAGTTTTTGTACTGATATACGATAGTACGTAGTATATTTACACGGAGTGTAAAATATTGTCTCTAAGTTTCTAACACAGCCGTCCTTTAAGACATACGATAGGTGTTTGACACCCGGACTCACTTTTACAGAAGGTCCCCAAAAATTTACTCCCTCCGTCTCGAAAAGGTTGATCAAAGTTGACTTTCACGTGGATTAATAAGATAAAAACTGTGTGGTTGAAATTTGTGCAGAGGAGAGAGAATTAATTTTAACCACATATTCCTTACTTTAAATGGAAATGACAAATCTTTTTGGGACATCCAAAAAAGAAAATTTGGCCAACCTTTTCGGGACGGAGGGAGTAGTATTTAGTACATAGTAGTAGTTATAGGTTGATTTTTCTAGATGTTATGTATTATTCCAGATTTCAAAAGGTGTATAACCTTAAGATTGTTTTATTTGTGTATTTTAAACATTATAAAACTTATATTTCACTTAAATATATAGTCTATTTGTATTTTATTTTTAATCTTTTCTTCTTTCTTATTTTAGGATGGGGGGGGGCTCATTTCACTATTTGAAACCGTGGTCTCTAAAATCATTAGACGGCCCTGATTTATAATGTATGAACTTTTAACATATATGATTAATGATCAAAGTCACTCATTAATTGTAATGAAACTCCAAAATACCAATGGCATGTGTAGAAGTTGATTCTATTTTTTTTTTTTTTTTTGGATGAAAGGTAATTGTATTAACACCCAAGAAAATAACATCATACAATGTGTCCAAGAAATCAAGACCAACAATCTAAGCTAGAAAAGACTAACCTAGATGTAAACATCCCAAACAATCAACATTTGTAAAATAACGGGACATGCCCCGATAGAAAAACAGCTCAAAGTCATCATGATGAAATCAAAGGAATAAATCCTTAAACGCACCATCTCTACTAGTCAACGTTATCGTCCCATCCTTATACACCCTCTTTTTCATGGTATAGCGGACTGGTGGTTTGGGAGGTTGCAAGGGCATGTTAGTTCTCAAGGAGGAGGGGGGTATGGAAGCATCCAGAGCAGGTTCCGTTTCCGGTACATCCCTGATCATCTCCACCCCAGCAGCCCCTAACTCTTGTGCCAAATCCGTCTCCGCCACCAGTTCGTTAGCCAATTCAGCCCGGGTATCAACTCCAGCCCCATCAACCTTATCTGTGATGTCATCTAATTTTTCCAACTCAAAACCCTCAAGTTCCACCTCCTTAGGTTCCGCAACCTTGGTCCCGTTGAAAACCACTTCAGTAGTAGGACATACTTCCACCTCACTTCCATCTGTTTTCTTCCCTTCCTTCTCCTGTAGGTCATTTTTTATTTCATCCACCTCATGAAGCTTTTTGCAAATAAATGGATTGTGCCCATATTTTTTGCAATGAAAACAAAAATTAGGAAATGTCTCATAAACCACCGATTGTTCGATTACCTTGCGGGAATGTAGTCGGATAGGAAAAGAAAGCATGGGCGGTTTCGACGCATCCACTTCAATAAGCACTCTAGCAAAATAATGGTTGCTCTTTTCCTGGGTGACCAAGTCCGTTGTTAATGGCATCCCAACCATAGAGGCTACTTCACTCATGGCCTCTTTATTCCAAAGTTTCATCGGTAGGCGTGGGAATTTAACCCAAATCGGCACTTTAAGGAATTCTTCGTCATCAAAAGTGAAGTCTTCCGATAGAACCTTCAACATGAGTAGCTTTCCAAAGATGGTATAGGGTCCCTCATTTAACACTTTCATTCTGTCTGTTTCAGTTTGGAACCTAAAAATCACCCAACCCTTATCGTGGCTCCTGATTTGGCATTTGACTCCCCATTTAGATTTCAGTTCGTATATAGCTTTTAGGCCAGGGAATCGACCTGTGAAGTAACCAACAAGACAATATCCCCACATCTCAACCATGGATGGCAAAGCTCTATCAGAAAAGTCCAAAGTATTACCTTTAGGGGGGACAAAATTCAGCTTGATCCCATGAGATGGGGCTCGGTTATCCTTGAAGAGTGTAGTCCATGGCTGCTTAACCAATTCTGCAGTAGTAGTTACACGGTCATTTTTTTCAGTAGCAGTAGGACTCACAGTATTCCCAACATTCTCTGTAGAAGCAGTGGTCTGGACAGGAAGTTTAGCAGCACATCCACTCTCCAGCTTCGGTGTATCAGCATTAAGAGCAGGTTGCAAAAACACAGGGGGACCTGCGTTTGTTTTGGTCACAGGAAGACCTGCGTTAGAAACCGCAGCAGTAGTAAAGGCAGGGCGACCTGCGTTTTTCCGAGTAGAGGGTTGAGACCCCGCATCAGGCATCAGGTTCAAGTCAGGGTTGAGATCCCTGTTATTGTTCAGAACATTCGTTTTTGTTGCACTGACCGTCCTTTGCACGCAGTTCCCAGAGCTCGCAGTGGAGGATTCCCCAGTCTGAGGTTTGACCGTGCAGCCAAAATTCAGGATTTCAGCGTTTAGGGCAGGGAAGTCGTCATCCCCAGCTTCCAAAATGGAGAACCTGGAACTCGATCTAGTTGTTCTGCCCGTAGGTGTCTGTCCAGCAACCTTGTTGTTTTTCCCCATTACAGTAGCGTATTACAGCGAGACGGACACAGAGCACAGAAACTTTGTAACCTTTTAACTAAAATAGACCGGCTAACCAGGCACGAAACCTATAACAAGCTCAGAAACGAACAGAGCTTTGAAAAATTCGATTTTGCAAGCGCTAAATCCCCAAAATTAAACCTAAAATTTCAGATCGTTTCTTGACAATATCTCCCAGCGACGCTATTCCAATCCAAAATCCAAGGTCGAATCTGGATTTAGAATCAAATTTCAGTTAAGAAGATGAACCTGCGACCTGCGGATACCTTGTAACCATCGCGCCGTACAAATGGACGAGCGTAGAAACACCTTGGGCGAAAATCGCCGGAGAGAGAATAAAAATAGCCACAAAGCCCTACACGGCTACACCAGCGGAAAAAATTCACCCTTCTAAAGTAGTGTAAAAAATTTCGCCCTGCTACGCTAGCGAAAAAAATTTCACCCCTACATGAAAGAAATTTTACTCGAAATCCTGGATTATCCCTGTATATAGGTATAGAATGATATACAAAAAATCTACATTTTTTTATATGAACCGTTTCTTTTTAAGACCCCAACCGAATGCTAAATTTCTAATTCACGTGTATTATGTGCATGTTAAAAATCTACATTTTTTTAATTTTCTAATCATATTAACTGTTTCTTTTTTAAAGACCCCAACCGAATGCTAAATTGCTAATTCACGTGTATTATGTGCATGGTTAATGATAAGAGTGGATCTTGTTGTGCTCTTTAGACTTTAATCACGAATCTATGAGAGCCTAATGCACAACCTTGTAGATCATGAGATAAATACAGTCAAAACATAATTTATAAGTGATTTAATCCTATTTTCTGAAAACTTTAACGGGCCGGGGCTCCTATTCAAGTAAATGTTTTATGATTTAATCTTATTTAGAGAATTTTTCTACAATAATAATAGAACTCAAAAAAACGGCATTACGTTGTCACTACAGTTACCGAGAAAGTACACTATAAAATTGCTCCAATCACAACATTCAATACGAAAAATATCTACGATTAATTTTTGAAAAGAGAACAACTGTTATATTAAGTCACATTTTCTGTTCGTGTTTTTTATGAGATACAACGTTTTAAGAATTAAGATTGCTACAGAGTACTATTTAAATCCCTTGGGAAATTCTGATTGCAGTCTTCAGTAATTGAAGCAATTTTCATGGTTCAATCTCAAACATCAATAACTGTACGATGCAATTATTAATGATTAAAAAACTGTGTAAACTCCAACATTTTTATTTTTTTATTTGGAGAAACATTTTTCCCTAGAGCAAAACAGTAGTTTTTAGTTTAAAGCGGGGTATAACTCGCAGAGATGGAGGGGGTAATAACTTTCTGGTAAATTTGGGAAAGAAAGTACGCATTTTGCTACCAATATTGTTTTCCAAGCATATAATAACACATGGAAAATAGTTAAGCGAGAAGGAGCCAAATCAAATGCAAAATCAAGAAGAAATGCCAAATGAAAGATGAAGAGCAGTCAGGTTAACACTATACAAAAGTACACCCAATACAATCCACCTTGCGGTGCCACTTTTGAGGAGGGATAGTTTGTTCAATAGCTGCTGTCTGGTGGGGTGGGGTTGGGGGATTAATTAAAAGGGACATATCAACCTCTGGTTTGGGGATTCCTTAGACTTTGTCATCATGGAACCACCACCTCGTCTGCTTAGGCGATCTCCCATTCTTGCAGTTCTTCACATAACGATCATTGTCTGCCGGGCATTTCTGTACACCAAATAAGCAAACAACCGAACTCGTAAGTGAACAGTGGCATGTGCATAGAGCAATTTGTCCAGCTTGTTCAGAGTTGGTATTAACTATAATACCTTTTCGGTAGAGCTTGATAACATGGATAGAATGCTAATGCAAATGGAACTGACGGTCATTGCTGGGGACCAAGAGTCATACAAAATATCTGTCATCGTCATAACCCGGTTCATCTAAGTTAGTTTGCAATATAACAAACTAAGAAAGGATTTTTTTTAAAATCAAATCTTAATAGTGACCAGTCTTAAGAAAAGTAATGAGTCCAGCTAATAGTACCTCAGGACAGCCTGAAAATAACATACGGAGTACCTAGTAAGCCCATTCTTATATACCACGCTAGAAACACTCCTCGTAAAGGTGATTCAATATTTAAATTAGGGTAAAGGCTCAAGAGAAATACTAGACATATACCGATAGTATCTATAGAAGGGAGAAGATGTACTATAAATACTCATTCTTATTCATGCCGGAAAAAGTGTAAGCATCCCTTTCCATGTCCATTTCCATCACATGAGAAGGAAAAGATCAAGAGACAGAAAGAATATGCTAACAGAATATGGCCAATTCATCCATCATCATGGGAACATGGCTCATGAACACTCAACAGTGTAGCTAATAAAAAAATACCATACAGTAGAGAAGCATGCAAGATGGCCAGTTTTATTTTAAGAAGAAAGCGAGGTTAAGAAAAAAAGATATTCCATTTACATTTTACTTCTACATTCCATACTTATATATTACAATCTAGCTTACTATGTATTGGAACTTTGGTACCTCAAAACATATTCATATTTTGAAGTTAGTATGACAATATCAAGAGACAAATGTGTAGTATACAAAATGGCAATGCCAAAACCAAAAAGTTGTTAAGTAAATCACATTATGAGGCGGTTCATCAAACTTGTGGAATCATATTGTATCACTTGATGTGTCACTATGTGTGTGTATGTATTGGGTTAAGTTCAGTAGGGCCAGATTGCCCCATGATACCGCTAATTCTCTGCTTGGTTGCTATGAGAGAAAAAGAAAAAGGAAACAGATGTTATGTTGTTCATGAAAACTAAAAAAAACATTATGGTTCAAATATGATATACTAAAGAGAAGGATACCATTGGTAACAAAAAGAAAAGAAAAAGGCATTTAACCTCTAACTTTCTTCATACCTTGAAGGGAAACTAAAAGGTGGTATGGCCCACATGTTTTGTCCTTACTCTCCAATTCTATTCTAAGCAAACGATCAATATTCTCTCTACTCTTCTTCTTTCATTCTTGTCTGGGAGAACTATCAAATAAGCCCTCAAACTTTCATAAAAAGTGCAAATAAGCCCTTTTATAGGAGGCTTTGTCCGGCCGTCGCCATTTCAGGCGGTTTCCAGTGGAATTTTTTGATGAAATTTTTTGAGTATCTACTTCATTAAGTCTCGTTTATTCATAACAAATTTCAGCTAAAAATTCAATCGGGAAGGCAGTCAAATGAATTTTTGAGGATAACTGCGCAGTTAGACAGCGCAATATATTTCAGAAAATCATTTGACTACCTTCTCGATTGAATTTTTAGCTGAAAATTAGTATGGGTAAACTAGACCTAATGAAAAAGATGCTCAAAAAATTCATCAAAAAATTTCAACGGAAACCGCCCCAAATGGAGACAGACGGACAAAGCCTTGTATAAGGGCTTATTTGCACTTTTTATGAAAGTTTGAGGGCTTATTTGATAGTTCTCCCTTCTTTTCTCTTTCTCATCTCACAAAGAAAAAATGTAGTAATACACCAAAATATGTTTGCAATTCACAAAGTTGCATGACGTTAGTTATGTTTGACACATTATATTGTGAAACTTAGTCAAGCAAGTCTGATTGCCTGAAAATCCCAACCAGCTTTGTTGAAACCAATAAAAAGGGAAACAAGAGTGATTGCCAAAGATGGCATAGAAATGAAGAAGGCGCACAGAGTGATTGCCACAGATGTTATATAAGTAAACTCACTTCATCATTCAATGCCTTAAAGTCAGTCATACCTTAAAGCAATTGATGATAGTGTTGGCCACTTGGCCTACAAGTGCACAACATTAAATGTGGTACACTCAAGAATGTATTAGGAAACACCCGTGGGGGGTATATTCGTGTTCAAGACAACTGACAATCTGCAAGTCGATGAAAGACAAAGGAGTACATGGTAGTGAAGCTAACCTAAACAGATATGTCCATTGCTATAAATGTGAGGATGAAGAGGAGCAGGCTGAACAAAAATAACCTGTCATCCCAGAAATAAAAACATTTGATTAGTATACCCAAAAGGAAAATCGTTTGAAAAATAATAGTACTAATAAATAAATGCAGTGACTAGCTAGAAGCCTAGAGTGCAAGTGGACAGCCAAGATTAGTTTAACTAATAATAAGAATCTTAGATAAAGCATATTGATTGTACATTTGCACTGAAGTACTGTATTAAATAACCAACAGTCCAATTCGGCACTCCAGTCTCTACTCTTTTAGGGGAAATGAAAACTACATATATAATAGAGACTAGAATGTTTAGATTGGCAGAGGATTATCTAAAATTTCATAAATTAAGCAATTGAATCAAAAGACCCAAAAAGAAAGTCAACTGCAAATCTTGAATAACTTGTATCATAGAAGTAGAGGACAATACCTGAGGAGCATCCATAGGGTAATTTTCAGGAAATTCAACCTGAAGCTGATATATCTCGTTAGCATACAAAGTTTCGGGTGCTCCTGTGACTTCAATTACCCATCTATATAAAAGGAAAACAAAAAACATTAACTATTGAATTCAACAAAAAGAACCCCCCCCCCCCCCCCCCCGAATAAGGATTGAACCAATTCCATCTCAATTGAACATGCCCAATAAAACAAACAGGAAATTGAAAGTCATTACTTTTGGAGATTATCAGTGACTTTGTGCTTAAATCCGGAGGGGGGATTCGACTGCCATTCCATCAGCTCCTTCTGCAACCGATTGGCGGCGATCTTGCTCAGAGCCTAAATCACATTTCACAATCAATTGCTGGGAATACAAAAAAATGATTAAAAAGATCCTGAAGTAGATGCGACCCGGACACAAACCTTGCGAGACGAAGTTGCAGGGGCAGTCATGGATGGCGTCTTGAGATGATGAAGAGCGAGCGGGGAAGAGAAAGGGCGTGCGGAGAAGCAACTTCGGTGCTCAGTGTCCGGTTGCTTTATTGGCACCCTTGGGAATTTGGATTGATTGTCGAAAATCTATAAAAAACTTGCGATGCAGAAAAAGGTATTTTTGCGAGATCAATAAGGTTTCGGATCAGGTCAAATCTGAATATGATCGACGGTCCGGACTTATTGTTGGTGCGCTAGTGTGGACCTCAACTGCCACGTCTCGAATGTTCTTGTCTCTTCACGTGGACCATTAAATATGTAATCACAAAACTACCGTTACTGCACCATTATAATTGTAATTATAAATATTACTGGTTTTTAGATGTTTTTTAGTCTATTATAATTACTCCTATAATAATAATCAGCTGCGGACACAAAACCAGAAGGGGGCAAGTGAGGCCGTCCCCAATTTTTTTTCCTACCAAATACATTTCCTCCAAAAAAATTATATATAGATATCTACATATATATATATATACTCCATATATTACTATCTTCCTCCCGGTGGACTTTGTCAAGTGCATAATAGGTTAGAAATAAGAATAGTGTAAACTGTGTGATACAGATTTGTGCAGAGGGGAGAGAAATGTGTAGAACCACAAATTAGTTACTTTAATAGGAAAATGACAAAATTTTTAGGAACAACCAAAAAAGTGAAGTTGGCAAAGTACATAGATTGCGATTACATGCAACAGGAACTCTAACCCTATACGTAAGCTACGTAAGTATATGTGCACCGTTTACAAAGGGATAAGGATGAACAAAATAAATAATACGGAGTATATACAAATAATATTAACACCCCCTCAAGATGGAGCATGGGAGTCATGAATGCCCATCTTGGCTAGAAGAAAATGAAATTGTGATGCTCCCAAAGCTTTAGTGAAGATATTTGCCAATTGATCTGAGGTAGGTGTGTAGGAAGGAATGATAGCTCCGGATCTCACATGGTCACGAATAAAATGACAATCGAGCTCAATATGCTTGGTACGCTCATGGAACACAGGATTAGAGGCAATATGAAGAGCCGCTTTGTTGTCGCAGAAAAGCTTTATTGGCGGGAGTTTAATCCGTAGTGATGAGAAGAGACTTTTTAACCACAAGAGTTCACAAGTAAGTGTAGCCATGGAACGATACTCGGCTTCAGCGGAGGAGCGGGAAACTGTAGCTTGTTTCTTTGTCCACCAAGAAACAGGAGATCCTCCCAGTGTTACAAAATAGCCCGTAACAGAACGCCGGGTATTGGGACAACTAGCTCAATCTGAGTCACAATACCCAAGGAGAGTAAGTGGTGAGTTGCATCGAAATACAAGCCCTTGTCCCGGTCGACCCTTGAGGTAGCGGAGTACTCGGATGATTGCGTCCCAGTGTGCTTGCTGAGGTGCTTGCATAAATTGTGAAAGTATATGGACAGAATAGACCTGTCTCAGCCAAAATATCCAGGACATATTTTCTTTGGCACAAAAAAATATCAAGCGGACCCCGTGCAATTTCTAGGCCAATAAAATACTTCATAAAACCCAAATCTTTGACAGGGAATTTGTGTGCCAAATAAGACTTAAAATTAGAAATCATTTAAGGACTAGAACCCGTAATAAGCAAATCATCAACATAAATAAGAATACATAAAATGTGTCCATCCCGGTGAAGAGTGAATAAAGAATAATCAGCATGGGATTGAGAGAAGCCATAAGCAATAAGAGCCGTGGTTAATTTTGAGAACCAACACCGTGGGGCTTGACGAAGCCTGTAGAGAGAACGGAGCAGTTTGCACACTTGTCCAGGTTTGGCAGAAGAATATCCTAGAGGCAAATGCATGTACACCTCCTCTTGAAGATCACCATGTAAGAAAGCATTATCCACATCCATTTGATGAGTCTCCCATCCACGTGAAGCGGCTATGGCCAAAAGGGTACGCACCGTGACCATTTTGGCAACCGGGGCAAAAGTTTCATCATAATCTATGCCATGAACCTGTCGATTACCACAGACTACTAGTCGTGCTTTATAATGATCAATGCTTCCATCACTTCGGTATTCAATTTTATAAACCCATTTACAATGAATAGGTTTCTTACCGGGGGAGAGCCTGAAGTTTCCATGTGCCGGTACGCTCCAAAGCGTCAATTTCGCGTTGCATGGCAGCACGCCAATTCGGATCACCCACTGCCTCACGGAACGAGTTCGGTTCCTTGGTGGCCGAGATGGCTGCAATAAAAGCACGATACTCTACCGAAAAACGATTATAATTTACATAATGAGATAAGGGATATGGAGTACCTGAATCAACCGGTTGAGGCGAGTGAGCAACGGGCGGAGTATCTATTTTCATAGTATTGAGTTCCACCGTGTAATACTTAAGAATTTGATTATTTAAATTTAGTTCATGTTTCGGGACGAAACATCCTTTAAGGGGGGTAGAATGTGACACTTCAAAAATTTAAATAAAAATAAAAATAATTTATAGTCAGATAAAATATTACGAAAATAACATTTTAATAATTAATTGAGTCGGACAAAAATTCAACAGTTGTACCATGCTAATCAGATAAAATTTCAAAAATTTATGATTTATAAAGTGTTTTGAAAAATATTTTATGAGGTTGTACGAATTTATATATATTATTTATTATTATTTTAAAAGGTTAGGTGGAACTTACTTAGCATTATTGCTAATGTTTGTTTTCTTTTATTTTTCTTGTGCTCGTATTTAACAGGAGGTGATCATGTTGATTTTGATGCTGCAATGTTTGAGAGCGCGAATTAGAAGACAACTATGTAGTTCACTAGAAATAAACTTTAATATTTGCTTATGATTCGAACATCTTGATTTTTGTTAAACTCGTGTTTTGGTAGATAGCCTTAGCATCCAATCATTCACGGATTGGGTGTGGCGGTGACATGCCCCTTTTACTTAGTTTTTATTAATTTCCGCTGCAACTTTTGAAATTTTAATCATTAAATAAAAGTTCATCTCTATTTCAAAGTATTATTTTGGGTGGAAAATTTGGGGGTGTCACACACCGTGTAGTCCTTGTGCCAAACAGGCTTTTGTTTTTGACGTGTACCCCGGCCTATATGTGAGTGGAGCTGCTGTTGTGACGTGTGGGAACTCCCACTTTCTTGGAGATTAGGCAGCTGTTGTGATGTGTCCGTACCAGCATTCATTTGTTGACGCTTGCCACCTTCGGGCTGTGACAACGCAGACTGAGTATCAACATTAGTCGTCACCTCCATACAGTCTGTGTTGTTCGGTTCTGAAGCTTCCAACTGGGCACCTATTTTCTCTGGGATATCTTCTTTGTTGTCGTCAACTGGATGGGGACGCCGAAGGTGTTCAACTTGCTGTGAGTTTCCGGCTGATGGATATAGTTCCAACGTGGCGTATGGAAAATTTGTTTCAACAAATGTAACATCTCGAGAAACGAAATAGCGTTGATTTTCAAGGTCGTACAATTTTCCAACCCTTTGTGTATAAGGATAACCCACAAAAATGCACTTTACCCCCGTTGAGCAAATTTGTCCCTTATCGTGCCAGGTGTGCGTGCATAACATAGGCAACCAAATACACGCAGATGATCATATCTGGGTGCCTTGTTATACAATAATTCATAAGGACTCTTGTACTCCAAAACAGAAGAAGGCAACCGATTTATGAGATAGCACGCAGTTAAAACACATTCGCCCCAAAAATTAATTGGCAAATGTGCATGAAAGCGGATAGTGCGTGCTATATTTAAAATGTGTCTGTGTTTGCGCTCAACTCTTCCATTTTGTTGTGGAGTGTAAACACACGTCGTTTGAAAAAGAATTCCATGATCCAAAAAATAGTTTTTCAAACACTGAAATTCTGTCCCGTTATCACTCCTAACAATTTTCACCCTTTTGTCAAATTGGCGTTCTATTAATGCAATAAATTGTTTGAAAATTCGAGATACTTCACTCTTTTCTTTCATCAAAAAAACCCAAACAGCACGTGAGTAATCATCAACTATGGTCAGAAAATATCTATCACCACATGACGTTGGATGACGATATGGTCCCCATACATCACAATGAATCAAATCAAATATTTCAAAAGCTCTGAATTCACTAATATGAAAAATGTCTCGCGTCTTTTTTCCACGCAAACATGCGTCACAACTCTTATTCAAACCAGTATCCAACATAGAATTATTGAAGGAAATAATAGAACGCAAAACTTTGACTGATGGGTGTCCTAACCGGGAGTGCCATAAATCGCCTTTGGTCTTCTCCGTGATTGAGCAAGCACGAACAGAATCCAAACTACGAAAATAGTATACTCCTCCCCGTCTTTCACCCGCTCCAATCGGCGTCCTCGAAGGTAGGTCATGTATCACACATAAATCATTAGTAAAAAATATACCGCAATTATGGTCATCAATTAATTGTGCCAACGAGATCAAATTGCAAGTCAATCCGGGAACCAAAAGCACATTTTTCAAAGTAAATTTATCACATAATCGCACCATCCCTTGGCTTGTGGCAAAAGTAACGTCACCATTCGGTAGATGAACGGACATTGGGTTTATTTCCTTGGGGTTCATCAATAAATCACTTTGACCGGTCATATGTAGTGAGGCCCCTGAATCTAACATCCATGTATTGACATGCATACCTGATAGTTTTTCATGAGAAGATGTCACCTTACTTTGCTCCATCAACTGGAGAAAGGTTCTCCACTGTTCGTCAGCGAAGTGCGGCGCACGATTAACATCTCCCGATGCTTGTGAAACTGTAGTGTTCTCTTCACTTTCTCCCTGAATCTGCACGGCATGTGCAGTGGCTCTCCCACGTCCCCTTCCGGTGCTTCCACGTCCACGTCCACGTCAACCTCGTCCTCTACCGGGGTTATCATACCACCATTCCGGGTATTGGCCAGTACGTTTGAAACAATTTTCCACCGCATGTCCTGGCTTCTTGCAGTAGGTACAAAGTATCTTCTCTACTTGCCCTGACAACATATATGGGGCATGTCCTTGCCGCAAAAGCAACCGTGTCCACATTTTCTCCTCCGTTTCGCGTCATGTTTAAATGACGTTCTTCCTGGGTCATAATCTCATAAACTCGTGTGAGACCGGGCAAAACATCTTGACTGAGTAAATTTGACCGTAAGGCTCCATATGTGTCACGTTCCAGTCCCATCAAGAAGTCGTATGTTTTTTCTTGTTCTATTGCTTTCGCAAGCTGCTTGTTCGAATCACAAGTACAGCCATGACAGGTACACAAAGGTACGTTTCGGTATCCCTCGTAATCGTCCCACAATGCTTTGAGACGTCCGTAGTACATGGTAATTGTCTGCCCGTTTTGTCGGCAAGAGCGTATGGACTCCTTGAGTTCATAGACCCGCATCGGATCTCCGACCTCGAACCGGCTCTTCAAGTCTTCCCAGAGTTCTTGCGCCCCTTCTGTGTATGTGATGTTGGTGCGCAAAACCGGATCTATCGCCGTCATCAACCATCCGACCAGCATGGAGTTTACCGTATGCCAGTCTTCGAGATCCTCCACGCTTGTCTCCGGTCGCTTAATCGTTCCGTCTATGAAGCCAAATTTCCATTTCGCCCGAAAAACATTCTTCATCGCCTTTGTCCACTCACGAAAATTGCTTTCGCCCTTGAGATTTATTCCACAAATGTTGATTCATGGGAAATCAGAACATGACAAATAATAGGGCGACGAAGGATCATTGATTTTCCTTCTCAAAGGTTCGCCGGAGTTTGTGTTTCGTGCATCGTTTGACATCGCTTAAGAATGTTGTTCAGAGTGCAAAGTATTTGGCCGTGGTTCGTATTCCTGCTCTGATACCAAATTGAATATCAGTATGGAGGCAGAATAATTTGTTGTTATTGATTATTCGTTATGTGAGTACAATGATGCGAAATAAATACCACTGGATTCCTATGGCTAGGCAACTACGTACTTTACATGCAACAGGAACTCTAACCCTATACGTAAGCTACATACGTATATGTGCACCGTTTACAAAGGGATAAGGATGAACAAAATAAATAATACGGAGTATATACAAATAATATTAACAGATACAATTTGAGAAAATTACTAATATAGAAAGTTGAAAATCACAAATCTACTGAGTTTTCATCCTTGTATTCTTTTAAAATGATTACATAAATCTTATATTTAGAAAAGAAAACACTTAATTTTATTTTAGAATTTTTCCTGTATTTATCTCTTTTTTGAGCAATTTTCTATAAATTTTAAATACATATATACATAGGGCCCTGTGTCTCTACTGTGTCCATCAAGGTTGTTAAAATCGTAAAATCGAATCGCAAATCGTAAGATTTTATTAAACATATCTTAATAATTATAAAATAAATAAATATTAATATTAATTATTAAGTTGCAAGTTAATGATATTATATCATTTCATTACATAGAACTATACCTACAAGGTCCAAAACAAGACCTATAAACTATTTTAATAATGTAAATGTAGTGAATAATAACATTCAACATATGTAAAACATAAAAATAATTAAATAACAAAGGAATCCATTACCTTTTTAAATATATTATTGATATTATTATTATTGTAATTATGTATCAATTTGTAGTGGTTAGTTTTAATAAATTTGAACCATTTTCACTAAAAAAAATTATTACGATTTTGCTACGCTTTGCTACGATTTTAAACGATTCTACACGATTTTGTATGATTTTTTTACGATTTTGTACGATTTTATGATTTTACGATTTTACCTGCGATTTGAATCGATTTATTAATGTAGAATCGTAAAATCGTACGATTTTACGATTTAAATCGAGATTTTAATAACCTTGGTGTCCATAGTAGATAACTAGATATGAAAGCCGCAGCAAAAAAAATGTGTTTATTAATTTTTATTCTTTAGTTTATTGTTTACATTTCTATTATGAATTACTAAATATTTATCTATTTTTATGTAGATAGTATTTATTATTAAAAAACTACTTTCTCTGTCCCATCAAAAAATTCTGATGGGAATAAATTGGAAAGTGAGAATAAATTGGAAATGTATAAATATAGTTGAGTAACAAAAATGTAAATAAATGGTAGTCACACAAAATTTCCAAAAAGTCTTGTGTGGACGGAGGGAGTATTAGTTGGTTATTAATAAAAATAAGTCTTATTGGATAGTATAGAAAGGGGTCAAATATGAAGATGGGATACATATTACTTTCATTTTAGGAAAAAAACGAATATATTCATATTGTGGTATTTAGTAGTATTATACAATAGCCATTATAAAATAGCCATTTTAGTTAATTAGATAAGTGGTATTAAGAGTGATAAATTAATCTATGGTCTTATGTTTTTTTGTGATTTTTTAGCCAGAGATAATTATCACTCGTAATTACAATATTGTTGTAAATTTCCCTTTTCGTAATTACAATATTTTTAACGGAGTATTATTTTTTGTTTTTATTATAAATTAGGACATGATTATCCTATCAGGTTAGGGTAAGGGTACACCAACATACTTTAATCCTATTTTGACAAGATAAAAAACATAATCTTATTTGTGCATTTAGCCTATTTCCCCACATTTTGATAGTAAAATTGGGCATTAACTTATTTCTTTCTATGAACAAATGAACAATCGAACAACAATAATGCGAACATCCTTAGAACCATAAAGAAAAAGTAAAACAGAGAGCAATTGCATCTTAAATCCAAATCAAACCAAAAGCTTAACATGACTTGATACAGTGATGCAGCAATGTGGGAAACCACATAGGAATATAACATGAAAGCATTAAAACTTAACTATGAAAAGCAGTTGTAGTAATCATTATTATCATGGAGTACTTATTGAAACAACATTAAGACAGAACAAATCTGAAAGTCGATGGGATCATTTTTTTTCTTCAATCGGACAGAAAGTTATATGATATTAGGCCCTCTAGGCGGAAGCTGGTGCAGCGTGCTTTTCTAAGGCATTTTTTAGCCCATCTTTGTCAGCACCGACAATCCTATCCACCTCCTCTCCACCTTTGAGGAAAACAAGAGTTGGCATAACCTCAACCTTATATTCTTCAGCAGCTTCCTGTAGAGAATGGGTTTGTTATGGTCTCACTCAGCGAGTGTGTAAATAAATTGCAGACATAATCAAATGTTTTACCACTTTTAATAAAATGATGACCGGACACTAGTACAAAACAACATTAAAGGTCGTCTTACCCTAACTTCTTCCACATCCACCTTGAGGAATATCACATGGGGCATCTTCCTTGCATAATCGGCTAGTATTGGCGCAATGAAGCGACAAGGCCCGCACCAGGATGCCGTAAAATCTATCACCACCTGAAAATTTACAGAAGAATAATTAGTGCTGTTCATCCCCCATATTTTTACCACTGGCAATAAAAACTAAAAAAGATAACAAAACTGAAGCACAAATTCTAGTTCGAATGTGAGCTACACGGCTACACCCATCACTCAATGTAATACTTTCTGCTCAAGACATCCCAGAATTGCTTATGATGTATCACTATCTCAAGGATAGTAACTCAGCACTTCAGATAAACAAAGTTTACTTATATAAAGTATAGAAAAGCACTTCAGAATGGTTCTTTATATATACTGATGTACATACTGCAAGGTCTTTGTACCCCAAACCTTTTCTATTAAGAATCACAAAGCTCCTCACTATGCATTGTTGACATAGAGTTGGGTTTGAAAATGTTAATAATAAGGAGTTAAGGACTTGGGGCACAATGGCATGACGCTTGCGATTTGTGTATTCTTAGGGTATGTTTGGGAATTGGGGGGGAGGGGAAGGTTGATGGGGGTTTGTGACCCTCCTTTTCATATTTGGGTGTTCAAAAATGGAAGGAATGGTTTTGGAGGGCTTTTCTAACCCTCCAAAACCTTCTAAATGCTCAACTTATTAAATTGACCCAATTTGGAGGGTTTTGAAGGGTAATTAACTGAATGATAATTTAAGCTCAATTTAAAATGAATATTAGTTCAATTATTTGAATTTATCATATCTTAAAGTGATTTTAATTCCTTCAAAAACTCTCTTCTTCCAAATTTATCACTCCCAAATAAGAAGGATTTCCACACTTTTCCCTCTCTTTCCCCTCCAACAACATACCTTCAAAGTCTTCCCCTCCCCTTCCCTCCAAACTCCCAAACATACCCTTATGGAATGTTTGGGAGTTTGAGGGGGAAAGGAGGGGAAGGCTTTGAAGGTAAGTTGTTGGAGGAGAAAGGAAGGGGAGAGGGAGGAAACCTTCTTCTTCTTATTTGGGAGTAGTAAATTTGGAGAGAGGTAATATGAAATTGAGCCAGTATACATTCACTATAGGAGGGTCTCAAACATTCAAAATCTCTCAAACCTTCCGAAACCATTCATCCACGTTTGTTAAACTCCCAAACACAAATACGAGGACCAACCCTCACATAACTTCCCCCCTCTCCCAAAAAACAACTCCCAAACACACCCTTAGAGTGAAAAGTTCATTTATTCTATTAGCCCTAACTTTGCTCGCTTCAATTATAGGTGCTTCGAAAGAAAGAGTGAAAGACTCCCGACCTTTTGAAATATTTTCCAAAAGATTTGCACTTTTCTGCAATTGGAACTGAGAAGAAGCTAATGATTGCAGTTAGAGCTAAAGAATGATTCCTACGTGAGCTATATGAATAGGCAAACTCAGGAATAAAGCTCTGTATATTTACTATGATGATTTACAGAATGTATGAGCTGATAATACTACATACGTAGTACGGAGTATTATTTACCAAGAGCCTAGAAATTTCAAAAATCGCATTGAATTGATTCATCTTTCAACACACCGGAAATACGTCACAAAGTGAAGCAAAAGCAGGCTAGCCGGGCTAGCATGCCTGTTAATTCTCTTCTAGGGAAACAAGTTGACTCTTCAACTCTAAAAACAAAATTAAAATTTCAAAACCTAATTCGATGAAGAGAATATACCAGTCTGTTGCTCTCTTTGCCTTTCTTAATGTTTTCGGTCAAGTGATCCTTGACTTGGCAGCTGATAACTTGTCCCTCTTCTGCAATTGGTGTTGCCGCCGCCGTCGCTGCCATCTCCTCTTGCCGAACGCTGGTCCTGAAGTTGACTTTGATGAAAGAATTTGGGGATGGTCTTTTTCTTAACGCTTGCAACACAAAGGCATTTAACCAGTATATATTCAGCGTGATTTTTTTATACTTTCCTTTTTATATTCTCCAGTTCTTTATTAAATGTCTTTCTTAGACTTTGTCACAGGTTTTAAGGGAAAAACAATAGGTGTAGGGCTGACAGGTGCATTGCCTGAAATGGCTGAAAAGTCTGAAAGACTTAATTTGGTGAAATGAAAGTGTTTGGTAATATATTGGCTGAAATAATTGATTGTTTGTAAAATTACTATAAGGGGTATTAGCTTATTTGTGTTAAATATATGGGTGTTAATTTTACTAATAAACTACTTTTGCTTGATTAGCTAATTATAAGTCTATTTAAATAATTGATTACTTTGAAAATTTCATTCTTACTCTTACGTCGATTTTTTTATACAACTACTTTCCAAAAAATGCGTATTTTCGAATGAGTGACATTAGTATTATTTTTGTAACTAATATGTGTAAATTAATTTAATAAATATACTTTCTCTAAAGTACATTAACAAATGGACATGCATTTAATTTAAAATAAAAATGAAACATAAAATACCATCCACTACCGGAAATTCATATTCGCAGACAACATGATGAAAACAGCTACTCTGTACTTCTCAAGTAAAGAAGCAATGAAGCTAAAAATAAGGGGTAAAGGAGTATTCACCATTTGCAACCGTAAGTAAATATTTCTGAGCTCAAAAAGTAGCTCTCGAGTTGCTTTTTCAGCTGATAAGATAATTCAGCCCAAAAGCCTTGTGTTTGGCTGTATTTTTTTATTTTTAGGCTTATAAGTCCATTTTTGGGGCTCCAAACACCCTGATAATGTAAAAGGTATAGTGATTTGTGTTTAAATGATAAAGTAGGAATGAAAAGGAGTAAGGGTAATAAAAGGGGGTAAAAAGATACTCGTCCCGTTTGGAAGGTTCTCATAGCAAAAAACGACACAGTTATTTAGACAATAATTAAATAAAGTACTTCGACTATATTTTGAAAAATAATTTTATTAGGTATATATTATAATGTAGTTCGTATTGATAACTGTGATATTATAAATGTATTAATTTTAATATTTAATAATTAATTTGTCACTTAAGATTGTTAATTGTTTCCTAAACTGGAAATGGGAACCTCTAACGGGACGTCCAAAAAGGGAAACTGAGAACCTTTTAATGGGAGAGAGAGAGTATTTTGATTGAAAAAATTTACCAAAAATGGAAAAAGGGACAAATAATTAAAAACGTCCCAAAAGAAATACGAGACAGTTAATAAAGAACGTATATTCTAAATTAAGTGTCGAATTTTCTTTTTTTATAAAAAATATATGATTCACGGTATTTTATTTAGTCTATTTAAATCTTAACTAATACTGTAATTTTTTTTATTTTTTTTAACAACTTTATTAAAAACTGTCTCAAGCCAAAACAAGATGCATACTCCGTGTCTCAAGGTAGTAATACTTTCTGACCTATTATATTAGGGAACATTTGTTTTATGTTAAATGTTAACATGCAAATATGCAATAGTATTTCTCAACTTGTGACTTCTTCTTTGAAAGTATCACAATTATGTCATCAAATTACAAAATTCTTATTCATGCAATAATAACAATTTCTTGTAAACCAAGTACATAGTTATGATAAAAATAAATTTTATTTAAATAAATGTGAAGTCTTAAATGTAGTGATTATAGTAATAATTTCATAGGAACCGGCCGACTTATACGCTTAAGTCACCTCATACCTTTAGTCATATGTTTGTAATATTGAATAAATTTTATATTCATGATATCTTAAAAACACCTCATTTTTGTATCTTTCGAATAAAAAAACCTAAATAGACTTAAATATGTTTTTAGTCTTTACAAATATGGTACACTTTATTTTAGGTCCTTGTATACTATTTTTTTCATCCATGCAGTATGCACTTTATTTTAGTTCATCTCTAACTCCGAAACTACTCTATTGAGAGAAAAAGTTATTTCCGGATACATAAATCTATGGGAATTAAAACAATGTAAAATCAATTATTAACATTTTTTAAATTTGTACTAAAACCCTTCTAAAAATAAAATTAAATACTTTTTTAATAACAATAGTAAAGAATGAGAGAAAAGCTATTAGTTGGGGTTTATTTGTTATCTAACGGAGATTGTTATGATCAAACTAAAAAGAAAATCAACTTAAATTTTATGGTTGAAAACCCAAAAAAAAAAACAGAAACGTTAAACAAAATTGTGATAAAGAATTGACTTAGGTAACTATGAACATACTTTTATAGACAGTGTGATAAAGAATTTGAACATAATTAAACTCGATGACAATTATAAAAGTAACATTTTTGCCATCATCTCTTTTCTATTATATATTAGGTACTAGACTAAATACCCGTGTGATCCACGACGTATATCTAGAATAGAATAATAACTTATTTAAAATTATGTTTTATTACGACAACATGCATGATGTATAATTTATTCAAATAAAAAAGAGTAATGTTTATATGTTGTAAATTTGATCATATAATATATACTTCCTCCGTTCCTAAATAAACTTCCAACTTTCTTTTTTCGTTCGTTCCAATTAAAACTTTCATTTTCCCTTTTTAGTAAAGAATTTGTGGTTAACAACATTCTTTACACATTTCTCTCTCCTCTACACAATTCTCCACCACACAATACCCACTATCTTAAACTGTGTGTCAAATCTATTTGGAAGTTTTAATAGGAACGGAGGGAGTAGTAGTTTGTAAAAAAATGGATCGTATGAAAAATTGCCATGTGAAATTAAAAAAATCACAGGGTGTAACAATAAGATCTATGCCTCAATGAGATAATGGAATAACATGATATTACAACTATTAGTGAGTCCCAAGAACAATGTAACTCAATACAACAAACATATATGTTGACAATGTACACAGTATTATAAAATTTCAAAAACTTTTGTATAGACCACATTATTAGTGTGGTGCTGATAGCAGAACTATTGCCAACACATATAAGAATCTTCAACCCACTTTTTGATGTGACACTTGACATGACAACATACAATTGATCATGCGTAAAAACATATTTTTGATGATATATTTTCACTTGGTGTAGATATTGTTTGCTTGCTTGAAATTTGTAAGGAATTCTGCTATCTGACATGACCACTAATAATAACATGGATTTAAAACCTTTTGACCAATATTTATTTGGATATAATCCGAAATACAATTACACAATCAAGTAATAATCAGACGAGTCACATTACATAAGTCATGTATATGACTCGTCAATGTTTCTCATTAGCATAATAGGAACACTAATTTTTTATCTCAATTTATTGTTCGATATCCCTGGTGCTTTGATGGTGTTCAAACACTTTTGTGTGTGCACTTCATACGATTCAGTGCCAATGTTGCTTCAAATGAACATGGGCTGTCAAAACATCAATATGTCTTCATTTCTTTAGGCTTCAGCAAAATCATACTACCTCCGCCTCGAAAAGGTTTGCCAAATTGACTTTTCTTGGTCAATGATGACAAATTTTGAGCAATGATTTTAGTTATTATATTTGAATAGGAAAAATTGAAAATAATAATCCCAACTATTGCCGGTCCGCTAACAATAATCCCAACTATTGATTATTTTTGTATAATCCCAACTATATAGACCGTCCGCCAATAATGGTCCAAGACTAGATATTACCTCCTATAACAAGTGAATTTTAAAAAGAATTAAGCGTAAAAATTAAAAGTTGGGATTATTTATAGGGATTACTTGCTATATCTCTTCTCATCCACTTTAGAATTTATTTATAGTCGGTCACATCGGACCATTATTGGCGGAAGGTACCTAAAGTTGAGATTATTCTGAAATAATCGATATTGGGATTATTATGAGCGGACCGTCAATAGTTGGGATTATTACTATCAATTTTTCCTATTTGAATATAATTTATAAATTTTATACTTTTATGAAAATATTTTCAATAAAGAATATTTTGATATAATTTTCATATTCTAAATAATTTCGTATTAAAATATATCATTGGTCAAAGTAAATTTTCATTGACCAATAAAAGTCAATTTGGCAAACCTTTTCGGGATGGAGGGAGTATAATTATTGAAAATCTCACCAACATCATTTTTATATGGGTGTCAAGATAACTTTCTGGATCATATCTGTATGTGTGTGTGTATATATATACTAGACGAAGTACCCGTGCAATGCACGGGCTATATCTAGAATTGGATAATAATTAATTTTTTTATTGATGAAGGATAATAATTTATTTAAAATTGTGTTTTACCATGATATATTACGTAAGATTTTAGTTTTTAAGTTTTCTTATATTTTAAAAGTAAAATAAAGTATTTTCTAAGATGTTAAAGACTGTTTACTGAAGGTCACATATTAACTTTCACTCATGTTCACAGATGCATAAAAAACAAACTTGTAAAAAGGTTACCTTTCTTTGTACTTTTAAATTTCTGGAAGTGGGGAGTTGATATGTAACTTTAACCCATGGTAAGCATTTGTTATTCCCAACGTCCTTGTGAATATCATTCAATATTAATATCTTTATAAAATAAATAAATTATGAAACTTTAACAATAAAGTACAAAATTCTACCGTTGTATATTCTGGTCTAACAGATTTCTACAATTAAAAAGCATTCTCCTGGGTTACTGTCCAGGTATTGTTTAATCTGCTCTGCCAACTTTACCCACAATGAACACTTTATTTTATTACCTGTGGAATAAAAATTTGCAATGTTAGAAACACATGTGTTTCATGATTAGATTAATATTCAATATTGACTAATTATAGCATATGTATTAAAACATACTAGACATCTTCTAGAAGAACCTCAAATAGTTTTCTTTTCTGCCCATCAATCAATATTTCCTTTATCATCACGTCCTTCTCAACAACATGTGCGATTACACCTACAAAAATATTTTATATAAAATCATTACAGTATCGTTCAAACACAAATTCGTTATATAGTATAAGTTGTACACTTACCGAAGTATGAACCTCATATTTTCCGACCAACATAACATTAAAGCTAGCAAAGTTAGTGCTTTCTAGACTTTG